TGCATTAGAGTATTTATGATTAATTATTAGCGTAATAAGTAAGTAGATGCTTGTAATTAGGCTTATTTGTTAGGCGATTTGGAAAGAGCAGTTTGAAATATAGGGGAAACGTATGAACAAAAATTAATTTGTTATTAATCAGGCTTTCCAAAAGCTTAAGCAGAAGTAGCTTGATAATTATTATTATTCATTTCAATAAATTGAGATTTATAATAAAATTAAATGTACTTTCTTTACTAAACAAACTTTCCGTTCCTGCTTACTAACCCACATACGTAACTCGCGTAATTTTCCTTTATTTTACTTGAGAAGCAAACAAAACAAATATTGTGAACACATGAATAAATAGTCGGTTCTCGACGAGGGACTACAATTTTTTCTTCGCGTCTGCGAGGAACAAACGTCACACACAAGACTCGGGGACAATGGTCCCGTTCAGCAGTTCATCTGTTAGCCGCTGGCGGTAATAAGGCGTGTTTTTTTTAGTTCTAGCCAAATCAATTCAGTATAATCAGCCAGTGTATTTACCCAGATAAATAGACGTCCTAATAAAATCTATTCAGCTTGACCTTTTTGGAAATTCCTTGAATTTTTTGTAGACATATGCCGATGAATTTGCCGTACTTAGAACTGAGGGCCTTATGATCATCCAATTCATTTTGTCCTATGGAGCACTATTTTTTTAAGCTTCAAGAACTACGATAAACAGATTTGATTTTATAGAATTCTTCTTTTTCTGTTTAAAACAAGAACAAAAACGACTCTCGATCAAGGCAATATAATTTAAATTTCGGTTGATAGTACTATACCCAAATTGGATTGGAACATCTTTTTAAAACGAGTACGCTAGTTTTTTGAAGTTCGGAAATACCGCCGCCGCCACAAGAACACTCCAAAGTTTTGTTTTTGCGAGCCAGAAAGTTTCGCGTGAATCGCACAGTCAATAAAAATATGTTTAATAGAATTAATAGGTGTCAAATTGCCACAATTCATATTAAATGTATCTATGCATTATGTGTGTCTTTTTACATATACAAACAATCTATTTATTGTTACAGATAATGAATTCTTCATACTCTTTCTTCGCTTTGCTACGTAACGTGCAGACTCGTTGAAAAGCTAACACTTTAACAAAGGATATTGCAGTACAGATTCACATTGAACCTTATAAACAGTGCATTAGAGTATTTATGATTAATTATTAGCGTAATAAGTAAGTAGATGCTTGTAATTAGGCTTATTTGTTAGGCGATTTGGAAAGAGCAGTTTGAAATATAGGGGAAACGTATGAACAAAAATTAATTTGTTATTAATCAGGCTTTCCAAAAGCTTAAGCAGAAGTAGCTTGATAATTATTATTATTCATTTCAATAAATTGAGATTTATAATAAAATTAAATGTACTTTCTTTACTAAACAAACTTTCCGTTCCTGCTTACTAACCCACATACGTAACTCGCGTAATTTTCCTTTATTTTACTTGAGAAGCAAACAAAACAAATATTGTGAACACATGAATAAATAGTCGGTTCTCGACGAGGGACTACAATTTTTTCTTCGCGTCTGCGAGGAACAAACGTCACACACAAGACTCGGGGACAATGGTCCCGTTCAGCAGTTCATCTGTTAGCCGCTGGCGGTAATAAGGCGTGTTTTTGCCCGAACACACAACGAAAAAGGAAACAATGATTTTGCTCGTGACTAGATAAATAAGATGTCCGCACGTGACGAGGGTACCATTACAGTTTTTATGGATTCTTTCAGCGGGTACACCACCAGCCGGTCCACCTGCCCCTCTTTGTTTAGGTCTCTACATTGTTCGAGAAAATGTACGTATAGAGGTTACATTCGATTGTCTCACAATGACACACTTTGTATGGGAATCGCAACAATTATCCTTATATTTGTCGCAAGTATCTGAATTGTAATTATGCACAACGGCAATATATCCATTTGTTTCCATCAATGAAAAATGGATAAAAATTGCGCCCGCACACGTCCTTCCGCCGCCGCGCCGCCTGCAAACGATGATTTAGTGGCGATCCCTGGATTTATAGAGCGGCCCGCCCCGCCCAGCGACTTCAATGAATAATAAATTGAAGATCTTTTTCGATATTATTGATACTTCGGGTATCTCCGTGTGATGTATGTTCGGGTGAGAATTGAAACCCTTTTATTAAAACATATATTACAGGACACGTCCCGACGGTGACACTGAATAATACGCTCCTTGTTGCGACTATTCTGTGCGGAGCTCTCTCTTATTTCGGATTTTATTACTCTAAGATTATTTATGATATTGTCTGTATACTTTTGTAGACCTTCGTGTGGCCATAAATCCTCTGACTTTATTATATTTTACTTAAGTGCACACCAAATGGGATTATGTAATGTGTAACATTTTAAAATCCTTTTTGTGTGTTGAGTGTAACAGAATTAATAAGAATGGGTGAACTAAACTAGCGCTCCGCAACACGAATGTCTTTAGAAAGCCTCATGCATAAGATTCTCTTGCAAAGTGCAGGCGGTAATCAAGACTGTACGTTAACTTCATCATCATCATCATCATCATCAGCCCTTTTCAGTCCACTGCTGGACATAGGCCTCTCCTATTGCACGCCACTGGGATCGATCTTCGGCCACTCGCATCCAGCTCCTGCCAGCCATCTTGCGCAAATCATCACTCCACCTTGCCTGAGGACGTCCTACATTACGTTTGCCGAGACGCGGTCTCCGTTAACTTGGTGGCTTTCAAAATTCTGACAACAGCGATCGTCGCTGGTTGTCAGGCGTACAAGTGGAGGAGTTGGATGTTTGAATTTGCCGAGCTAATTCTGAAGGGCGTACGTACCAGTTTGTCTTACCGAGTCGCGTAGTCGGCACTTGCTTGGAGATGTACCCGCGGTGGCAACGCAAACATATGGTAGTGGGGTTAAAACTTGCCCCGCATGTAAAATTAGTTAAATAACTCCCCGGGAATCTTCACTCTCTATATGGAAACACGTCTTTGCTCTAAACCCGAGCAAATTAGACTAGCAAACTTGCACACATTAAGCTCGCTTTCTAAATTAATCTACGTACTGTGGCTAATTAAGAAAAAACATTGTTCGCGAACTGAAATTTATGTTTGTTTGTGTTACAAATTACTAAAGCATTGTTGTTCAGTGTTGAGCTGGTGCCAGAAATAAGTTGTGTAACGATATCAAATGAACCGACTTTAACCCAAAGGCGTAAAATGTATGTATCATTAATATTCATATAGGTTTAACATTCATTAATACGGGCTATTTATAAAGTATCCCGAACTTAATTTAATAATATTGAAATATATGTGTATCTATTATCAGTTTTATGTGTGTTAATCATTTTATCTTAAGCAATCATTTAAATTTAATATCGAATTTTGTGTTTAAACACAGAAAAAGTTTCATTAATTGCAGTGGTACTAATACATGACGTTCATTTTCAAACCAGACTCCTTCTAGCGAACAGTTCTGATTAAGACATCTCAATCAGCTAACGATCCATAATGTAGTCTATCTCAAAACTAGCCTCTAACAAACTTCACAATTCATCAAATAGATGCGACAGACTACAAACACATGTTTAGACTATAGAGCGACTCGAGAATTTCAATGTCCTCACTAATTCTGGAAGCTCAAAGCATCTACATGTTTGCGTCATTTGTGTGACTTGCTCGTCTAAACACTTGGGCGGTTAATTTCTTCAGTCCGTCTCTTGGACCAGTGAAGCGTATTACTTGACAAAATAGCTCATACCAATCAAGTCTTGTTATTAAGTTCTCAGAATTTGGCACGAGATACCTGTGCGGTTTTAATTGTACGTAATTATTGTGGTACGGTTTGGGTATTAGATTGAGTACTAGATATATAAAGACGTATTTAAATCATGGAATTGAAGATGGCAGTTGTATTATTATTTCTTCTTATTGATGTTAACAACAAAATGTTTATACAATTTAGCTAAACGAGAGACAAAACAGAACAAAGTTTGCTACCTTGTTAGCTCGTAAAACATTGACAAATCCTTATAATGACAATAAACATTTGTGTTTGAACGTCGTCATGTACAGACGCTGATTAGTAGCGAATGGCTGCGGTTGCGGCCACTGCAACATTGCTGCACTCTCATGGTTTGTCACCCCTGAGCTTAGAACAAATGGAAGATGCATGCAGATTTTATATCAGCCATACTTCGGGACACGAATAGACCGGCTTGGAGTGATGACTTTGAAATGAAGCCAGCGTGAAAGGACGGTCCGATCCGACCCCCTCCCTTTTCCAATCCCTTTTACAAATCATAGACCGTAAAATGCTCGAAAAATCAAGAGCACAATAGTTTACTCTTCTGATGCAGCGAGTGTCCAGGTCCAGCGCCGATTGATGACTAATAGATGATAGGTCTGTTATTTTTCCTATAGGGCATCAAAAAACGAAATGTATTCCAACAAATTTTCTCATTTCCAGTATCTTTATATTCACGGTCACATTTGCTGGGTCTGGGTCCAGTGATCGCAAGCTGGTCCAGTCGCAGGGAATGAGTTTTCTATTTATCTAAAGAGTCAACTAAGCTCAGTCGGTTAGTTAGTTGCGGCAATGGATGGTTTAGATAGTAAGTATCGAGCCATGTTTGCGCAGTGATCAAGATTGCTAGTGAAAATTGGTGACAGATTAGATGGATGTAGGATGTCAGACGGTGTTTAAGTCCTTACTCTTTCAAGAAGTTTGGTCGTATGGGTTCTGAAATTAATTACATTACTGGATTCATCTGCTGATGCATGTTGATTAAAATGGAAATTTTAATTTAAAGCTATTATTCGAAGCCATAACATCACTTACAATGACAAGAAAGTAAACCACCGACAATTTAATTTAATTATACATTATATTGTATGTAGGTAAGTCGCAAAAGTAGTAAGACTCGACACAATACGACCGACATGACAGATGACACCTATACGACCAATACGTCCGACATAACCTTCACGACCAACACGACCGACACGACCGACACGACCGACACGACCGACACGACCGACACGACCGACACGACCGACACGACCGACACGACCGACACGACCGACACGACCGACACGACCGACACGACCGACACGACCGACACGACCGACACGACCGACACGACCGACACGACCGACACGACCGACACGACGGACTCGTGTGACACGACCGACACGACCGACACGACCGACACGACCGACACGACCGACACGACGGACACGACCGACACGACCGACACGACTGACACGACCGACACGACCGACACGACGGACTCGTGTGACACGACCGACACGACCGACACGACCGACACGACCGACACGACCGACACGACCGACACGACCGACACGACGGACACGACCGACACGACCGACACGACTGACACGACCGACACGACCGACACGACCGACACGGCCGACTTTGTAAAAGAACTCGATATTATCATGAAAACAAAAATATTCATTTTTTTGTAGTAATATATGTATGAAATAACCTTCTTCAACTACCTACATCGTGTATTAGGTATTAACCACAAGTTTTTGGCCATCCAGATATGGAAAACAATATTAATTTGAAAATAGAGTGGTTCGACCTTTTATTTCTGCCCATTAAATTAGTGTTTATATTTAATACCATGACACTGACGTCAACTATTGCAAATTAGTTCAAGTTCGGCGGATATCGACTCGCGATTCCTTGAAAGCAGTGTCCCAGAAACGTTATATCTAGGCCACTTTCATGAGCTAATTAAATTTTACTATTACTTAGAGAAGAAACAAGATTTCTGCATAATATTTAAAATCAAAGTCGTGTATAGAAAAATAGAGTAGACATTTGTGTGAAGTTGCCAAACTATTTATATGCGGACAAACAGTAATAAAAAAGTCGAGACGCTCAACATATTCCCACAAAAGCCATTGAACAAGTCCATTTATTCAATGTTTTTAAAACACATGGTCTCTTGAAACTGGTTCGGGGTAGAAGAAAAGCTTTGAGTTGATCCGTTCAACTAAAAGTTTTCAACAACAGTTCAAACATTTTGTGGCACGACATACAGCGTTCTCCTTTCAGCGGGAGACTCTTTGTGCCCGATGCATTAGATCGATTGTTTTGTGCCACCAATTGCTGTAATGTGTTGCAAGTCTTGCGGTACTTCTAATCGCCGGATACTATTACTCGCACTGTTTCTTTTTTGAACCAGTTTCATTTCGTTATTATATTTTGCAGTAAGCGCTTTTAAAGCTATGGAATGTAAAATTATTATCATTAACACCCGTAACGCGTTTACCAAACATCTGAAATGCTTACAACAATAAACATTATGTTATGTAATTATGTCTTTGCATAATTTATTTTCGAAATAAACTTTAATTATTCCATAAATTCAAATGTACGTCCTTCACATTATTAGCATTCACAACGTAACTACAGTCGAAATAAAAGGGTCCACAGTCCAAATATTTCAGGTCAATTTAATTTCCACGAAAATTGCAAGTTTAATTTCTTCCTGTTAAGAGTCCATTTCGCCTGTCCCCCGTTCGGCTTTGTCTTCACAATTAATTTAGTATGAGGAAATCTCCATTCCGTGACAATGTCACAGCATTTACTTTTCTTACAGCCGTGACTTTCATTTATATTTCAAAGGGACTAGCCGCCCTAATGAAATTGTTTTAAAAGCCGGCTTATGATTTATTTATTAACATAGAATCCGGTGAATTATGCCGTTATGGCAGCCTTTATTATGATTAAATAATTATTAAGTAAGCTGTTTAGCTTTTTGTTGGATGTTTTAAATGTCAAAGAACTTTATTTAATTATTGTAACGTTAAGGTTACTTACACTTATTTGAAGGAAATTGTTTTATTGCATTATCCTTCAAAGTTGACTAGGAGTGAGTAAATGAACTCCTTATAATCAGGTAATTTTAAAATAAAACTGCTCAGCGGTTGAAAGCGCCACAACGCTGCAACGTAAATAACAAGGCTAATAGCTCTATATTATTTTAATAGCAAATCATTTTTCTACACACCCCTCGACTCATGTTTAAAGAAATAGCCACGATTTTATCGGTGAAAAAACTCGCCCCAAGTTATTTGACCTGTGCCGTTAGTTTTTCACTGGATAAATACGATTCGTATCACCCTAGGGAGTGATTCATCACAGTACTGAGTAGCCTAGCACCAGTACTTCTCCCTCGCAAGACAGAAAGTGTATTATACCGACCAGGGGCTATGATTTTACTGTTTGAGTTATGAAGTTGAAGTGTGAAGAATTTATTGATGTTATTTTTGGATATCGGGATTGGGTCTAGACTAGAATTTTGGGAGTGAAGTTACGTGCGTATTTCCATAGTAGTTTTGGTCATATATGTCTTTAGGTACATACGTAAAAAATGTTTTTTTATTTATGTTGAAAAAATCTTTTGTGACTACTTTAGTGTAGTGGGTGTCCATAGATGGCACTGATTACTCACCATCAGGTGATTGATCCGCTCATTTGCCTCCTATTACATAAAACATTTGATTATTGATTCCTTTATTTTCGATTTTAAATAGTGAATTAACCTAACTGTTCTTCTATTTCAAAGCATTAAAATAACTAACGTAACACTTGAAAACATTTAAACCAATTTAACCAGAGACGTGTGAAACTAAGCACTACTTATCTATCAAATGACCGGAGTAAGTGGAGACTCCTCCAAGAGCGGACGCCCTACAAGGACTGACCTCCTTGCTGCGTTCTTTTAAAAAGGTCAAGTGTTTCGTACTTGTAACCAAAAGAAAAAGAAGCAGCTTAGGAAAAAGGTTTTCTTTGTTCTGGTGTTTCACAACTAGGTTAGGGTCAGCACTGAATATTTTGACAATGATGGTACATACTTTAAAATACACATGTATATTTATTTTACTTTTAATTTAAAACATTTGTTACTTACCCTTTCATTGCGGGCTATTTTACTCATTTCCACATTAACCATTAAAAACTCTCACTCTTTCATTATTAAAACAGACATTAAATTTATCAAAATCAGTCACGTGGTTTAGGCGTGAGAGCTTAACAAACAAGCAAAACGTATTTTCGTATTGACACTGATTTAAGTTAGGATGAATAACAAATATTAAATAGAGGACAATGTTTTAATTAAACAATGCATTACAAATTCCCAATCATTGCAGATTATTGGGAGGTAAGCTTAACTTGATATAAAGACCCTTTCTCATGAAGATACCATAGTCGCATGATGTAAAAGGTTTCTACAACTACTTAACAAGAAGTACTCAATTAATAGTGATTCACCAAAACCCAAGCGGACGCCGGCGTTCTCGCACCCATTATTCTTCTATTGTGTCTCGAATTGCCACAAATGAAAGGTAAGGCTATGTCAACCACAACTAGTCAACCAAGTTGACACTAAAAAAGGTAGCATGCTTGATAACCCAAAATATACTCACTATATAGGTCTATAACCGTTGCAAAGATTTTGTTGGTTGCAAAATTTGCCGTGTGATTAGTGTTCAAATGTAACAGGGCTTTTCATCTAAACAAAATACTGCACGTACTAAAATAGACTAAGTAAATACTAATAAATGCAGTACAAACAAGTTTGTAAGCGTATATATTAACGGCTTTGTCATCGCGCCATTGCTAATTGGACGAGCTTGTGTTTGTTTCAATTTAGTTCTAATAAAATTGTGGCTAGGCCACGGATTATGTTGTTGGAACTGCTAATCTGTATATTTAAGTTGAATTTGTATTATCTGTTATGAGATATGATACGGTATTTCTATGTTTCTAAGAGTGAATGTGGAATATTTGGTCTTGTAGTTTCGTGATCAGGAATTTATACAGAGATTACCAGATTATATATATATATAGAGATTACCAGGGATGTAAGTGGCCTCGGCCTGGGCCAGCAGGAACAACAGGTTAGTTTTTATTCCGTAAGAGTCTGACACTGCCTCGCCCCACCCAGTGTAAGATATTAATAAAGCCATTTGATGATATTCCGCCTCAGACAAAAAACCTGAGTAGATTTATTTTTGTGAAAACACACTTGAACATATTTTAGGTTAGATATTTAGTTATTAAGTGCCAATACCCAGTTTCAATTTGATACCAAACAATAAAAAATATTTAAGGTAAACAATTCCAAAATCATGGGCAGAAATGGGTTGGCTCGACCGGAGTGATACCGCGGCCTCACAGAAAACCGACGTGATACAACCGTTTTGCCGTGTTAGTAAGGTTACCGAAGGCCCAATCCCTGCCCCTCTCTCCATACCTTCCCAATCCTTAAATATCCGAAACTCTTATCTCCAAAAGGCCGGCAACGCGCTCCTCTAACTCCAACGTAAGTCCTTTGGTGTTGCGTCCAGGGGCGACGCAGATTGCCTACCATCAGGTGATAAGTCCGCTCGTATGCCGCCTGTCCCATAAAAAAATCAACGTAACTAGTTTTTACTAATATATCGAACGAAAAGCAAAAAACAACAAGTAATATCGCGAAACAAGGACTTAAAGTGTTTGCACTAATGAAACACAATTGTTTGGAAACACACCTGATGTTCTCTTCACAAACTTACCATAAACGTACTGAGATATGAAAATGTTATTCTTTAGAAAAAAAAGAATTGTGTGCTGACTTCGTAACGAGGTAGTCAAGAAGTCTTTTATTTATTTTTAGTTTCCTTGCCTTTGTTTATTCTCTGAAGGTAAGCAAGGGTTTGCAATGCGTATGGGGCTGCGATTTTGATGTAGATTTAATTAAAATAACTGGTATAGTACGATACTTAAAACGAATCGCTTTGTAAGAAGATACTTTCGCACAGTACATTAGTTATATAGGACTTATAACAATTTATAACTATAGGAGGTTTAAGTGTAATTCTTTAAAGTTTGCGAACAAAATTACAGACAAGAACCTGGTTGAAATATAGGTGAAATCAAAATGTTTCTTTCTTTAACGTTTCTGTGGTATCGTACATATTTAGTAGTTACTTTCTTGACACATATTGAAAATGACGGCTGACTTACGTAAGCCAATTGTTGGAAGCGAACGTCTCGCTTCTAAATCGCTTATCTATAAATAATATTTTTTTTTACATTATTTAATTTTTATAATTTAGTTTCACAAAAAGGTTTAACATAAATAAGAACTTAAGAGTAATTTGTCTTAAATATATCTGTACAATCAATTAAGGGCAAACACAACTAGCCAAATGCTTGCTGTAGACCTATTCTAAGTTAGTTCACGTGAACACGTTATTATTTTTGAGGGGAAAAATCATGACATGGTGATTGTCAGAGTCTTGCTGACTAAGAGCCACCCTGTTCCTCTTGTTGCTCCAGCTGAGCTAATCTGCTGCTACTTTCTAAATCAGCTTTAGTGGACCGCACTTGTTTTAGGCTGTTGGCTCTTTGAGGCACGCACGGAACGCTATGTGCCATACGCTTGGGTCTAATTCTGGTCGGACCGCAAGCTGTATTTGCTCGCGCACGACAGTCTAAGGCCACCATAAGACTGCGGCGAACAAGCCGTATTTTTTCCTTATAAAAAACGTTGCCCCACACTAGGATTTTCTAGTGTGTCGTTGGTGCCTTTACGAACACACAATTTAACATGCAAAATCAAAATCAATTTATGGATAAATTATTGTCAATTAATCAAGGGTTTCTATTCTCTTATCTATTCTTGAAAGAACAATTTGATATATATTATTTCTATTGATTATTACATTTTTTTCTTAAAGTAACCAAAACGACGTAGAATCAGTTTGAAACCACGTCTATACATAAAACCAAACTAATTTGCTGTACAAACAATTTCAGTTTTAGTTAGTGATTTATTTAAAGCGGACATAGTTTAATTAGATTGGCTCGGTCCGCACAAAACTGAATGCGATTTACGTATTTATTCACGCATGCGGCACAAATCTAGCGGTGTCGCAAATGTGATATCAAATGGAAATATATGAATTTAGGATGAAGAGTTGTTTTGTTAGTATTGTATTTATCTACCTAGCAAAGCCTCTATTTTGCTTTTGATTTTTGTAACCGGTCGTAAAAGAATGATTTTTAGAACAAGGCCTAGTATGTGTTATTTACTACATACACCACTTCTCTCGCTCAGGGTGAGAAGAGAGGGAGTGGCAAAATCCAAATATAAAAATTATTTAAGTTAAACATTTCTAAAATCTTATATTAGCTACAAAGAAATAGTTTCAAGTATGGGAGAGCCATGTTGCAGCAGGAATGGGTCGGCTCGATCGCAATAATACGGTAGTTTCCAACTAATCAAATTCAATACTTTTATCCAAATGTCAAAAACGATACTTTTCTATGAAATTTGTATGAAAACTGAGTTATGATGTCATAGTATTTTTGCGTCAAATAGCTTAGTTATTTCTTAATAATTAGCTAAAAAATATCTAAAGCTTAGTATGTCGATCGATTTAAACGTCGAATTAATTTATTAAAATATAAATTAATTTACCACGAAAGAAAACAAGCGTAAAACAATTACAACGTTTTGTATCGCCGTGTGAGTGAGGTTACAGGAGGCCCAATCCTTCTTCCCTTCCCTCAATCTCCCCCCTACAATATAAATCTACAAAAGGCTGGTAATGCCGTGATGCCGATTGCTTGCCATCAGGTAATACGAGGGCACATTTGCCGTCGTACCACATAAAAATTATCAGTATTGTAAGTTATACTAAGATCATCAGTTGCAGGTGAAGGTCTTATTAGCAATTTTAAATAAAAAATCTCTTGAATGCTTTAGCTATGTGTTCAAACAATCACACAATCAAATTCACAACCTTACTTAGTTCAAAATTTCCAAGACTTTAACGAGGCTGGTATTACAAGAGCTGAATGTTTATTCGGAGCCAGATCTAAACGAGTCATCGCTTAGGCCGAGGAATACAGAACATTATCTAAAGGAAGCGTGAACCTAGTCGTTAGTGAATCTACAATGGATAATGGAGCTGTAAACGACTATACCACGCAGCCATGTTGGCTACTTGAAAATTATCATGAAATTAATTTTGTGGGGAACAGTATTCTACTATGGAAAGTAGTGGTAACAGCTGTGTTTTGGGTAATGTGGAAATATTTCGGGCTATTGTTGAAAGGAATGAAATGTGGATGCGTTAACTGTCCTGAGTACACGTGAGATAGATAAAGCTGTATAAAAGAATAAAAATAAATAAGGTAATCGAGTTCTGTGAAACTTTTTCTTTTCTTTTTTTCTTTCTTTTTTTATAGAAATGTTGCCCCACACTAGAATTTTCTCCTGTGTTGTGGGTGCGGTTACAAACATACAATTTTACATAAACATGACACCCAGACCCGGCACAACAATTTGTGGATCACACAAACAGTTTTCCGTGTGGGAATCGAACCCGCGACACATTGCACGGCAGCCAGTTGCCCAACCACCGCACCAACCATGCAGTCAACTTATAGTATTTTTCTTTGCATTTGTAAATATAAATCTATACACATGCATAAATTATGATCTGAAATTAATTATTTTTTATGATATTTTTACGCTTTCTCTGTCTCTTTATAGCAAGAGAAACAGATTTTGATTCGGTTTTTAAATTAGGTACACTGATTGTAGAGGAAGATTTATATATATAATGACATCCATTAAATAGTGGAGAATTTTTTTATCAGTATAACACCCGAGCGAAGACAGGGCGTGTCGTTAGTTGTAAATAAAGGAATCTTTCGGCCTATCAATTTTATATTTTCTCGATTTTATTTAAACAAATATGTTATAGCAAAGAAACGAAATAAAAACCGTAAATGACTAACAATAAGACATAAAAATAAATTACGGTCGGACACTCGAAGCATTTACTAGCGTTTTGGCGCCCTCTTTAAATAATAAAAGTGTACTTGACGACATCATAAACGTTGGTATAATATGCGAATATGGAATTTCATATTATTCAT